TCTCTGACCATGAGGCCACCCTGAGGTGCTGGGCCCTGGGCTTCTACCCTGCGGAGATCACACTGACCTGGCAGCGGGATGGGGAGGACCAGACCCAGGACATGGAGCTCGTGGAAACCAGGCCTGCAGGGGATGGAAACTTCCAGAAGTGGGCGGCTGTGTTGGTGCCTTCTGGGGAGGAGCAGAGATATACATGCCATGTGCAGCACGAGTGGCTGCCCCAGCCCCTCACCCTGAGATGGGGTAAGGAGGGGGATGGGTAAGGAGTGGATGGGGGGGTCATGTCTCTTAGGTAAAGCAGGAGCCCCTCTGGAGACCTTTAGCTGGGTTGGGGCTGGGGCCTGGGACCTGGGATCAGAGCCCCTCACCTTCCCCTCCTTTCCCAGAGCCGCCCTCCCAGCCCACCATCCCCATCGTGGGCATCGTTGCTGGCCTGGTTGTCCTTGGAGCTGTAGTCACTGGAGCTGTGGTCGCTGCTGTGATGTGGAGGAAGAAGAGCTCAGGTGAGGAAAGGGTGAGGAGTGGGGTCTGAGATTTCTTGTCCCACTGAGGGTTCCAAGCCCCAGGTAGAAGTGTGTCCTGCCTGGTTACTGGGAAGCATCGTCCACACTCATGAGCCTATCCAGCCTGGGCCCTGTGTGCCAGCACTTACTCTCTTGTAAAGCACCTGTGACAATGAAGGACAGATGTATCACCTTCATGATTATGGTGATGTCAACCTGATCCCAGCAGTCACAGGTCCCAAGGGAACGTCCCTGCTGAGGACAGTCCTTAGGAGGATAGTTGGTCCAGGACCCACACCTGCTTTCTTTGTTTTTCCTGATCCTTCCCTGAGTCTGCAGTCACACATTTCTGGAAACTTCTCTGGGGTCCAAGACTAGGAGGTTTCTCTAGGACTTCATGACCCTGCCACCTTTCTGAGCCTTCACAGAATATTTTCTTCCCACAGATAAAAAAGGAGGCAGCTACTCTCAGGCTGCGAGTAAGTATGAAGGAGGCTGATCCCTGAGATCGTTGGGATATTGTGGTCGGGAGCCCATGGGGGAGCTCACCCAGCCAGCAATTCCTCCTCTAGCGGCATTTCCTGTAGGCTCTGACCAGGTTCTGTTTTTGTTTAACCCCAGGCAGTGACAGTGCCCAGGGCTCTGATGTGTCTCTCACGGCTTGTAAAGGTGAGATCCTGGGAGGAGAGGGGGCTGATGTGTGTGGGTTTTGGGGGGCAACAGTGGGAACAGTTGTGTTATGGGGTTTCTTTGACTTGGACGTATTGAGCTGGTGATGAGTTGTTTAAAGTGTGACTGATATAAATTTGTTAATGAATTTTTTTTTTGTAGTTTGAGACAGCTGCCTTGTGTGGGACTGAGAGTCATGATTTATCCACACCTTCCGTTTGTACCTTCAAGAACCCTGATTTCTCTTACTGCAAAGGCATCTGAATGTGTCTGTGTCCCTATAGACATAATGTGAGGAGGTGGGGAGACCAGCCCAGCCCCGTGTCCACCATGACCCCTTCCCCACGCTGACCTGCATTCCTTCCCCGTCACCTTTCCTGTTCCAGAGACCTGGGGCTGGGATGTCTCCATCTCTGCCTCAACTTCATGGTGCAGTGAGCTGTAACTTCTTATTTTCTTTCCTATTAAAATTAGAATGTGAATGTAATTTACTTCTTGAAATTATTTCCATGAGACATTGATGGGATAATTAAAGGAAAAGATTCCTGAAATTTGAGACACAAAATAAATGGACGACCTGAGAACCTTCCACAGTCCATGTGTTCTTGTGCTGATTTGTTGCAGGGGTGGAGAGTAGATGGGGCCGTGCCCAGTGGGTGTGCAGGCCACTGTGGGCTTTATGAGGTCACTGCTCGGCTGGGTCATCTTTGCTGCTCCATTGTCTTTGGCCCTTCAGTAGAAGCTAGTCCCACCACGGCCAGTGATCACAGGGACTTCAGTGTCACCTAGGGTGGTCTGTACACATAGAAGTCCTTGTGGTATCAGGAGAGAAATTTTCAGACCCCTGTCCCTCTTGCCCTCCTTCCAGGTCTCTTTCCTGGATTGTATTTCCCATCTTTTCCCCAGCCTTCTTAAACGAAGCAGGTTCTGAAACTTGCAGAGAGGAGGGCTCCCGTAGTTTCTCATCGTATGTAACTTTCTGTTGGAACTCTTTCTGCTCTCTCTCCTACTCTGCTTCCTGCCCGGAGTCATAGTAATCCTAGTGCTGCCTCCAAACCGAACCCATGGATTTATAAAGCAGAGTCTAACTTAGATTCACATGTGGTTGGGAAATTGGAGCCATAAGCCCAGGGTTATCTTTCCTGAAAAGAAAAATATGGTTGTGTGCTGCAGCCTGCAGGAGGGTTTTGTGGGAGGAGGGAGGGAGGGAGGGAGGGAGGGAAAGGGGGCACACACGCAGCCCTGGTGAGAAAAGCTCTGGCAGCACTGATGTCAGTGTGAGATGATGTTGCTCTGTAGCTGCCACAAAACAGCATTTGGCCTGAGGCTACATTAATAAAGATATTGCCTTTAGAATAAGGAGGTGCCCTACAGTGATCATTCAACTGACATTTGTTGTTTGCTATGTATATGCCTGCTTTTGCATTTAGAAAACATTTTAGTAAAAACAGAAGGATTTCCGGCCTTGTGGTGTATGCGTTCTAGATGTAAGCTTATCCAACCTGTGGCTCACAGGCTGCATGTGGCCCAGGACAGCTTCCAATATGAGGACCTTTTTGCTTATCTGTGGTGGCAGATATCATGAAAATTATGCACATACTTTTTTTTCTTGCTTCTTTTTCTGCTCATCAGCTGTCTTTAGTGTATTTTATGTGTGGCTCAAGACAATTCTTCTTCTTCCCATCTGGTTCAGGGAAGCGAAAAGACTGGACACCTCCGTAGGCAGATGATAAATATAGTATAAGCAAGAGCAGAAAATGCTTGAGTTAGAAGGTGGCAAGTGCTGTGGGGCAGGGGATCCAGAGTGTGGGCTGTGGGGACAGGGGGGCGGCTGCTGTGCTGGGTGGTCAGCATGGGCCTCGTAAATTTGACCTTTGAGTGAAGATTTGAGGGATGTGAGGAGCTGTCCACAAGGATGACTGGGAAAGCTCTTTCCAGGCAGGAACCTTCAGTGCAGATGCACTAGGGCAGGAAAGTGTCTGTGTTCCTGGAAGGAGGAAGAGGCCAGAAGGGCTGGACAGAGAGAAACTGAAATGAGGTCAAAGGTGTGGCCAGAGCAGGTAGGCCTGGCGGGTGTGGGAAGGGTTTTGACCTTTGCTGTGAATGATATGGGGAGTTAGAGGACAGTTTTGAAAAGTGGGACATGGTGGGACTTTGAAAGTTTCTCTCTGGCTGCTTTGCTGAGAACAGAATTGAGAGGTGGGGGACAAGTGAGGCAGTAGGGAAATGGTGCGGAAGGAGCGCAGTATTCCAGGATGGAGATGCTGGTTACCTTGACTGGGGTGTGAGCAGGGGAAATGGTGGGAAGTGATGGGATTCCAGATGAATTTGAAGATGGACTTCACAGCACTTGCTAATGGATTGCATCTGTGGTGTGAGAAAGAAGAATCAAGGACACCCACAGTGTTGGACTGAGTGAGTAGAAGGGTGGAGCTGCTGTCCGTGGAGACGGGGACACTCTGGCAGGAGCATACGGAGGAGAGGGCATCGCAGGCATTCAGTGGAGGAGACATCTACGAGGAGTGCAGGTGAGGGGCCCGGATGCCTCTGCAGCTACAGCTTCACCACCCAGGTACTCTCCTGCTTCCACCCCCTGTGTCTCAGAGCCAGAGCACTGATTCTCCCCTGGGCTGTCTGCACTGTTAGATGGAAGTCAGGGAAGTTATGGTCTGCTGTTGGTTATAATAAGTCATGGATTAATGTGCTTTCTCAGATAATTAAAGAAATAATAAGAGAAGTTGTAACTAGAACAGTTATTTAGAAGACCACAATAATGCAAAGTTTTTTAATCATCTAAGGAAGGCAACAGAAGAAAACTAGTTGAGTGAAAAAGACATAATATTAGAAGGCAGCAAATGACAATGTACAGACTTAAACCCAATGAGGCCAACAATGACATTAAACATAATGGACTCACACATTCCAATGACAAGACAAATAGTGCAGAGGGGTAAAAAGAAGTCAATCCATAAATAACCATAGACTATTTACAAAAGTCATACATTTCAGTAGACGGTACAGAAAAGTTGAAAGTAAACGGATAGAAAAGAAATACCAGACACACATTCATGAGAAACCACATGGAGATGCCATTTAGAAAAATGACAGGACATGAATCTCATGAGACACAGAGTCCATGTAGACAGCTCACAGTGTCTTTACTTTTTTTCAGAGACAGGGTCTGTTGCCCAGGCTGAAATGCAATGGTGATATCATACCTCACTGTAACCTCAAACTCTTGGGCTGAAGTGATTCTCCTGCCTCAGCCTCCCAAGTAGCTAGGACTACAGGTGTGTGCCCCTACACCTGGTTATAATGTCTCATTTTCTCATCTGATGTGGTGTGATCAAGGAAGCAATGTCATGCCACGTGTTTGACTTGCAGTAGGTGCACAACAAATATCAGGGGAATGAAGAAATAAAACCACTTAGTAATTCAGGCCATATCCACATTTACGTTTTACAGATGAGGAGCAACATCTCAAACAAGTAAAGTAAAATAAATTGATTTACATCATCCAGAGCAGAGTCGAGAACACATTTCCTGTGCTAAAGGAACAGAGCTCTACTGAGGTCATAGCCAGTATCATGAATTGCTACTGCATTTGGAATTGATACATTTCAATATGTACTAAACAAAGGGTGTGGAAGGATTAACTGAATGCAGAGATAAAAGAAGAAAATGGATTTGTTAAAAGATGGACAAAATCTTTAATTTTTTTAAAGTGGATTTATGTGAACCAAAGCAGGTATTTTAGCCACCCAGTGATGTATGTCTCCCAATCATATTGCAAGTTATAAAAAATGGTGTAAACCTAATGTTATCACCTAATGGCAAGTCAAGCAGAAAAATATATGTTTTTCCCAAAGTAAAATGTTATTTTTATATGAAGATTTCTAATAATGTACAGTGACATCTAGTGGAGGCAAACTGGTGTTACAATCCATTAAAATCACTAACAGGTGTCAAACACTACTGTCATAATTACGGTGTATAGTACCCCCACTAATGATGGTAATCTTAATCCTCGTATTCTAACTCTATATTTTAAACCCTTTTGTAAAATTTATCTCCTTTCACCTAGAAGCAATCAAACTCCAAGTGGTGCTGAAAACACAGCCACGCATAGTCATGCCATTCTTCTGAGGACTCTTAACCTCAGGAGAAACCCCAACAGCTGTCCCCACACAACACCCCCTTCTCAGCAGAAAGTGGCCAGAAATAATCATTGCCCAACACCTCCTAACAGCAGTTAAGGTTATCACTCCTGAGGGGAATAATACAGAAGTTATTAAGAAACCATTTTAGACAGAGAGAATAAAGAGTTCTCGGTGGAATTTTTCTTTAATAAAAAGCAGTCCCAAAACCATTTCTTTTCTAACAGAAAGCAGCCTGAAAAGCTGCAAGCAAACTGGAAGCTTGCATATGTAAATGCCGGCAGCTAGATGAAAAGCCGGGTACATCCAACATGGCGGTTCCCGTCCCTTTTCTTTGTCTACCCATGTGTGAGTTTCATGGCACTGGTCAGTTAAGCCGAGTGTGCAGGTCAGGATGCCAGGCAGGTAGAGGCCACATTTGCATAATAAAAGACTAGGGTGGGAGGGTCAGTTTCCTCACAGGCTATGTAAATGGCACACCTGGTCAAACCAATCCCCTGAGCCCCATGTAAATCAATCACTGACTCCTGAAGCCTCTCCATAAAGTCTATTGTATCACCCCAAACTCTGAAACTCTCTTGGGGCAACCTGTTTTCTCTGTATGATAAAGCTTTCTCTCTCTTCTTTGTCTATTAAACGCTCCGCTCCTTAACCTGCTCCACGTGTGTGTCCTTGTCATTAACCATCTTGGCACAGGACAACAAGTGTGGATATTTACGCCATACAATGTAACCGTTTCAACACCACTGGAGGCAGTGAGCGTGGTCTATTCCTTGAGGCCTAGGTGAACCTGATAGGACACAGCTGAGGGGAAACCATCACCCAGTCTGCAGGCTTTGGCCATCAGTGTAGAAGACACAGGTCCTCAGCTCTCCACAGGTGCCACTGTGGCCAGAGCCTCCTCTCTGCATGGTTAGTGAGGCTTGGCCCTTCCCCTGAACACAGTGACAGGGATCTCTCCAGAGGTGGAGATGATACTATTCCTCCCCTAAAATGGTTTAACCTCGTGGTTTTTCTGCTTTTTCTGCTTTACAGGAAAGCTGACTCTGAAATCCCAGGCACACATAAGGGACAGGTGGATTTCAGGGCTGTGCTTGAAGGAAGACCACCGATCACCAGGTGGCGCCATTGTGCTGCTCCTGCACCCAGGAGGTGGATGCTGGGGCTGAGCTGCAGGATGGAAGACGATGTCATTACTCATTTTCCAGGTTCCAAGTAAAATCCCTCCTGCCCAGCCCATCTGGTTCTTCCTGAATCCTCAATCTAACAAGGACTGTGTTTTCTTTTTTTTTTTTTTTATAACTTTAAGTTCTGGAATACATGTGCAGAACATGCAGGTCTGTTACATAGGTATCCATGTGTCATGGTGGTTTGCTGCTCCTATTAATGCTCTCCCTCCCCAGTGTATGATGCTCCCTTCCCTGGGTCCAAG